TCAGACTGCAGGATACATGAATGTTGAGTCCAGAGTCTGTGGTTTGGTCTCTTAGCTTTGCTATTAAGTCTTATGCATTTGTATCACTTCTCCACCTGCTGCTACTTTGAAAGATTAGAAAGTGTGAAAGGTGCTTTTTCTCATGATGCAATCTTCCCACATAGTGTGAGACCCCTTCCACCCACACTTCTGGGAGAAGACCCAGGGAGAAATGAATTCACAGAAATGGAAGGCTCCTAGGTTACTGTAGAATGTGACTTCACACAAAGCTGACTGGGTGGAAATGGGAATTAAGAGAAAACTGCCCTACAGGTTTATATTTTGTAATCTTTGAATAAGTTGTTGCCACCGACAATGAAATTAAACATGAAGTTAATTAGTGTAAAGTAAGAGGCTGATTATGTGATAACTTTCAGTGTTACAATATAATTCAGGTTTTCTTCTAGTTCTCTCCCCGCCCCCTCCTACTATATCGGAAATGGTGGCTAATCCTGAAAAGTAAAACCTCACTCCAAAGGAATTAGAGTGGGGGAACATGTGAGAGGAATAGCATGTATGAAAATAGAGACCCAATGTAGATGGTAATTATTTCTATTTCAAATGGAATTTATTTTGATAAACTTTCAAATAAATTTTCTGTTAAGAGGAAAATTGCTTGAAACAAGATGGGTAACCTTTTACTCAGTTAGAGGGTAACAGCCACAGAGTTCCCCAATCCGCTTGTTTGCTAAAAAAGACACATCAGGCAGGAGAGGTCAGAATTTAAAATGGTGATGGATGCAGGATGATTGATTTTTGCAACCAGTTATTTTTGTGGGTGCTGAGGCCCCTTTTCCTTTTGAGGAGGCCAGGTGTTAGAGCCCAGCTGTTTAACCCTCAGACCTGGCCATGGAAACCTCCCCATAACTGGCCTTATGTTTCTTTCATGTTTGATACCTTTGGGGTTCGCACTCTACATGTGGTTTACGGCAGCAGATACTTTGAGAAAACTGCTGGGTTAAGCAGGGCTATTCCTAACTGACGTTGGCCCAAATTCTGCCTCACTTCATCTAGAGTGGGACATGTCTGTGTTGTGGAAAATTGACCACACGGTTGATTTTGGATCAGACAGCCTGAGGCTCCTTTATTGATCAATCAAACATGCATGCATGGGGGAGTCAGCTAAGGCAGCCGAACACCCACCCGACAGATAAAATACGAGAGCTTATATAGGATAAAACCACAATTAGTAATACATACTTTCTTATCAACATTATTGCCATATTTGGAATACAATATCCTTAAAAGGGAATATAGCATAGCAAGCTTTCCTGTTAGTCTTAGTTTGCCCTGTGCGGTTTCTTGCTCTGTCACCTGACATCTATTACTCTGTTACAAAGGTTAATTCTACTTTTATAATTTCTACAGTTAGTTCTGCTTTTATGATTTCTGTCTACCCTTCTCCTTTTTACCTCCCCCCTTCCCTCCAGGTCACACATAGAGTTCACTTGACCAAAGTTTAGGCCTTAGTCCATTTTTCCTCCACATCTGTATCGAAGGATTAGTTCACACCTGATTTTCCCAGAGACCTCGCGGGAGGTGTGGTAAGGTGGGGTAAGCTGGAATCTACGACAATAAAGTTAAAGGTAAGGGTGGAAGTCCTTCAGCTTTCAGATCAACAAGCCTGTTCTGTTCATTCCCTCTGGACCATCTGGCACTGGTCACTCTCAGGCAGCATACTGGGCTGGATGGCCCATTGGTTTGACCTGGTATGACCAGTCTTGTGTTCTTATGTAAGTCATCTAAGAGAGACTGACTACCAGGAACCCAGGACTGATCCCCTCTGGGGAATGAAGGACAATGGCGATAGGCTATGCAGCCTTCACTAGTCTCCTGTACCTGAAAAACCTGCTAGCCCAAAGTGCTGGGCCATCTATGCCATTACCTGGTTCCTCAACTGCAGCTACAGTTCCTACTACATGTGACTCCAAAGCCGAAGAGCAGCAGAGATCCAACCCCTTGTAATCTTTGACATTTATTTTCCTTTTTCTATTTTTGTCTATTGTTTATTTATGGACGTGGAGCCTTCCAGCCTTTCTATTCGATTGGGGTGTAACAGTGTGGTTCAGTAGGTGTGTGTGTGTGAACACCTTTGAAATCTACACAGGGAAGATGCTAAGAATAGTTCCCCAAATCTTAATAGCCTTAACACTCTGCCCTATGAAATGACTGCAGGCACGCTCCTTTCCCTATGGAAGCATTGCAAGGAATTGAGCTGTCAGATGTACATTGTTCAGGGAGAGCTGTTTGAACTTCTTTTCCTGCTGTCTCTCTAAGGTCTGTCT